GATCGAATTCTAGGAGTCTGTGTATTAGATGTTTTCGGCCGGTTCCGATGTCACCTTTAAAATTTCTTGTTGGTGCAAATATGTCTTCGAGTTATCGATTTATAATTTATAATGGCAGGATTAACATAGCTTGACAAGGCAATTAAACTTTCCCTGCATTTACACGTCAGTATTTGAACGGAATATCACTGATACAAGAGTTATCTCATCAAAATTTCACCGAAATGAATTTCTCACTGCACCAAAACCGATCACGAATGAAAACAAAGTGTAGTGGACACGAGACTTCGAGACCGAAAACATATGAATTTTAAGCTTAAACTTACATCCACTTGGACCAAAGAACTTCACAATGAACTCGTTCAATCCACCAAGTATTGTCACTTCGTGCTTGCTTTCGATCCTGGTAAAACCTTCGTCAAGGAATATCATCATGAAAGCAGTGCTCATACCATAAATACAAAACGATCACCAAGCGAGCGCCATTTTGGCTCGCAACTTGCCTGCCGAAAACAAAACGAATTGGCTCAAAATCACGCGCAAATTTTGACAAGGATACAGTTTGATGACATCAGTGTCTATTCGTCTCTTCCCAGGTGATGGAGACGACATAATGTCCGTCCAACAAGCTCAAATCTCTCCTTCTGTCTCCCTTCTCCCCAAGCAACAATGGACGATAATACTCTCTGGTTGGTTTGTTGACGTAACATTATTATTTTGATCACGTGAATAGCTACGCTCCGCCCCCATCTATCTCGTGAGCGGAAATGAGACCACGTACCGGAAAGAGGAACACTGAGAATTAAATGAATAAACGAAAATGGAAAAGTCTTGTTTTCAAATCATGGTCTTGAAAATAGACTGGAAAAGTTCTGAAATATGTGGTTTGCACTCGGAGAGAGACGCCTAACGGAGACACTTTACTGATACTGAAAACCTTCCTCAAAACAAGGTTGAAGAAAATATTGAAACTGTTAAACAGCTAAAAGGAACGCTCAAAGGTCGATTTCGGTTTCATTTGATCAAAGAGCATTTCTTTTTGTGTAACAAAGAATCATTGACACAAGTTCCGGATGATAAAATATTGGCAGCTGCATGAAATTCTTTTTACTTATTTGAATTTAAAGTATCTATTCCCGCGAGTCCTGTGCTTATTAAATTGAGCAAATTATTTCTATGAATTGAAACTCACTTAGACCTGCAAATGTTTGGAATATCAACGAAGTCTGAATCGATTCTTTCTAAGCTCAATTTTGTCACTGGATTTTATAAGTAAGCAGAATCCTACAGTCATTTTGATCGGTTCTTACCTGTGATATGAAGAGCACAGATGACGTCATCACAAACAACGCTTTTCTTTTTTATCTCGTAAAACAAATGGTCTCCCTGTTATCATGGCTCTGTACAGTAATACCTACACCTTATGTGCCACTTTTTTGCTCTTACCATATTTAACGTCATCTGCGATCTATTACTGAACAGACCCACGGCTACATAAAATCTTATTGTTATTATATAATAAGCTAAATTAGACACGAATTTTGATTGGTTCTTACTTATGATGTATTGGAGGATAGACGTATCGATGACGTCACCATTAATACCCTTTGGCTTTTTTTTTTTTATCTTAAAAGAAAATAGATTCCATATTGCCGTAAGTCTGTGCAGAAATTAGCCAGAGAATTCAAAATGTGGTAACTTTGAACATCAATGAGACATTCGCCGCGGTTTCAGGTGCAACAGTTTGTTCTTATCTCATTTTGACGCCATCTGTGATCTATTACTGAAAAGGGCAATTTGGTGTTATCAACTGACTTGATAACGTAAATTGGCCACTGTAAAGAGTTGCACAGCTTTGTAACTCTTTATCGGCGATGGCCAATTTACGTTATTAATTCAGTTGATAATACCAATAACCCTGTTATAATCTCCCAACGACGCAGCACCACAGTTTCTTTAGAAACGTATCCCCGTATCTGTTATTGAACAGACGCACGGAAAAATGGAATCTGTTTGCGTTATAGTAGTTGTTGTAAATATAGGCTTTTAGAAAAGACTCACTAGGGACTGTTTTGGAAGCCATATCGAGAGAGAGTTACTGCGGAAGATCGCTTATTTCAAGGAATATTGGAGACAGCAGTGAGATTGTGTCATCAGTGGTGAACTGGGATATAGACTCTGGTTAGCTTAATTAAGTTTACTAACGATAAGTGTTATGTTGCTTTAGGAGTCGCTCCTTGTTAAGAACATTACTCGCTGTTTAACAAAGTAGTTGAGTTTGTAGGATTGTAGTATTTTTCTGTCGGTTAGATTATACCGTAACATCTGTTGAGAAGAGATATATCTACAGTTCCGTATGAAAATAAGGCGATTAAACGGTCGAGATAGATCACTCTTTTCTTTGGCTGCGTCTTGTTTCTAGTATGGTTTGAAATATCCTACGGAGACCTCTAGACTACGAGGAGTCCCTCCTTTTCGGTGAGCAAACGTTTTCGAAATTTGCGTTTTGCGACTACTTCCAAAGTTTGGAATCCCTTGGAAATTTCTATGGCGCTTTCTAGAATGTCAAATAAAAATAACCGTATGGTAAAAGAGAAATCTAGCAATTGAGTGAAGATAAATTACGCCTGAAAGTGCGCCGAGATCGACTTCTCATACAAGCAGGATGCTAACATTGTCAATTTTCAAGGCAAATTTGCGACCTCTTCTGAAAGCGCAAGAACAAACTGGGAATGATACACTGTTCAATTGAACTTTCTTCTTTAAAAGCCATATGGTAAAAGTAGCATTTGAAAAGTAGTTTATCCGTAAACGAAGAGAACGTAAGCCTTCCTCGACATTTTCAGCCCTTTTCCTTTATTGTTTGACAATCATTTTCTAATTAGCTTTTAAATTTAGCGCCAGCGTCTCAATGAAAGTCCCGGATATGTCGCTGAATTCTGGGCGATGGGTCGGTCGTGCGTGTCCAAAAAGATTAGCCGTAAAAAGTTAATGTTCGCACGCCGCGCAGAACTCCGAGAGTAAGGTCCGTTTTACTTTGTTCTTCCTCAGCATCCAAGCTCTTTCTTGGTATATCATCACTGCTTCAATATTTTCTACCTATCCGCACTAATAGGCCGGCTTTTCGATTGAGAGTCGTAATGGCAAAACCAAAGTAATCACAACAGCCAGCCGGTAGAAAGGAAAACGTCACATAGAGCCCATAAAAACTCAAAGTGAGATCAAGAAAACTACCAAAAGCGCGGGAAAACAAGAGTGATCAAAACACGATTGTTTTTGGTTTGGAATCTGAGTTGTGAAGGTGGGGCAAGTTTTCTGGACCAATCACAGAGCGAAGTTGAGCACAGTTCTATCAGTCTTGGATTCCTTTCGACGCTCAATTAAAAATCCTTCTCTTACGCAATATATATCATATAAAACATTAATTGATAACATGGTCCCCTCCTCCACCCCAGAGCGTACGGAAAGCACTGTCTTTTGTATACATACTCCTTATCCTAATAGGCAATAGGCAGAGATCAGCCAGTCAGAAATTTATTAGGAATAAATTAATTATTTGTTTATTTACAGAACCTTTTACAATAATTTCAGCATCAATAGATAGAAGAGAAACGACATTATTAATCTTCAAATGTCAGTCAAGAAAGGTTCAAAAAGTTTTTCTTAGTTAACTTTTGCTACATGCTGTTTTTTTTTAAAATTCTCACTGTCCGTATGTCACGAATGAAACAAAACTACTTCATGAGCGTAAGGCAACAAATCTCAGTCCTAAGGTAAAAGTCAAGTTTCGAAATACTTTCTGGCATAACCACCATTAACAAAGCAGTGCGGTACTGAGGCCCAGTTGTTCAGAGGCCGCATAACGCCTCCAACGGAAAAATCGCTATCCACCGAATAAATATCAACAAAACATACTGCGCTATCCACCGAATAGATATTTATCCAATGGATAGCGTAATCCGCCCTTTGACATCCGGTATAACTTCAAGGCTGCCTGTGTTATAGTTTATCTCTTCACCCATGAGTTCTGTCGTTTGAGTTTTCGTTCGTCTTCCCTCCGTTTGTACATCTATTCGCTGAGGGTCTTTCCTTCCGCCCATGCGCCCGCTCGACGATTCATCTGTCTGTCTTTCCGTCAGCCAGGAAAGAAAGTGGTCGAAACTTACTTATAATCAGTTACTTAAAATTGTCCGAATTAGTGAAATTTCAATCGAGTGTCGAAAGAAATCTGGAGTTACATACATTGGTTTTTACTTGATTCACTCCACGATTGGTTCAAAAAACTCGCGCCATTCTCTCAACCAATCAGAGGCAAGAATATTACCAATCTCCACTTGGTCGCCCGCATTTTCCCGCTCTTCAGGCGGTTTGCCTCTTTCGACTTTAAGTTCTCTTTGACTCTTCTGAATATTTTCGATTCTGATTCCGTTGCAATTACTTTGGTTTTGGTTTTACGATACTCATTTAAAACGCGCTCTAAGAGCGCATAAAAGTTTATCAATAACCTTAAAATATTTAGCATTTGTAAATAACTTGCATGAAGATGTTTACAAAAGATCTTGAGGTCGTAACGGCATCCTCTTATCTTACAATGCTCTACAATAAAACAGGAGCCCATTATCGGAGCTTCCACCTTTCATACTTACCCTCTGAGTCAACCCTGTCCCGCATCTTTTTATTTTTAGAAGCACCTCCCACGGGGTTTTTCGCGGGTGTTTACATAATAACCAATCATAAGAGAGCTGTGGTCCTCTATTGTTTATGTCACATGCAGGCCGCACGAAAGTATTTCAATAATGGCGAAAAGCGCGGAAAAATTTACCATTTTTTTAAGGGTGCTGTGCAAATGTCAGCGAGTTTTCACGGGAAATTAAAGAACCCCACACGTATCTCAGTTCTAAAAATAAAAAGATACGAGACAGGGTTGACTCAAGGGTACAATTGGTATGGAGGCTCCAGGTAATGGGCTCTCGAATAAAACTATAAAAACGACCATCAAATTATGTTCTTTTCCACCTCATTTGGTCCTCTAAAAATCCAAATCCATCCTGTAACGCACACAGCGGCTGCATCCTCAAGATCTGTCACGTTGACTACGTCGAAATATTTCTCAATAACACTTTCTTCCTCGCAATTGCGTGACCACTTCATTATCACTTGGTCACGCCATCCATGTAACACAACAGTGTTTACATACATTTTAAGTTGTCTCAAATCACAGCCTTAAAATTCAAACAATCCTTTAAATATGCTGTAAGACAAAGGATTAAATGTCACTATTTTCAATTGACTGTGCGGTATTGTAAAGAGCATCAGCAGCTGCTCAAACATGGTTTCATTACAACATGGGTTGAGCTTATTCATGAACTACGTGACATTCGGATATCCGAATCATGGACTAATATTTTTTCAACTCCCCTTCACAGCTGTACTTCTTGGCCTCAAGTTTGTTTCGCTGGGGAATAGCACTCGCCGAGTAACTTTCTCACTGTTTTCCACGCATCTTGTGGATGAGTCTACATTGGAAACAAAAAAATAAAAAAGAAAAAGAAATTATTTTTTGGAAAACCTACAAATCAATATCGAGTTGCGCTCAAAAAGCTCAGCTGTTACTACAGCCAATCATAGACGGGTTGATTCTATGTCAGCCAATCAAAAGCGACAAGGATTGTACGCATACAAGTTTTCCCGCCCTCGGCGACCATTGGTCGCCTAACAGCTCAACCAATCATAGCGCGGTTCCCTTTTCATCGGCCGATCAGAAACTACTAAGAATGAAATGAAAGCATTCTCCCCTTGCTAATGAGCAAACAGATCATTGATAGCTATTCAAGAGAATTTGGTTTTACGTTATAAGTCTCCTGCTCGATAATATTCTTTATTCTTACTAATGTTTGCTCGAGATCACGAAGCGAATTAATGCACAGATCGATCCGGCCAGTGAAAGGTTTCACAGCGTTCCTTTATCAGACACTTTCATCTGCCCTACTCAAGTTGCATCCATATTTCTGCACCTCGAGGCTACTCTAACCTCACTCCCCTCCCTGATCCCCTTCTCTCACTCCACAGGGGGTGAACGCGGGAGAGTTGCTATGAAACGAGGTAAGGCATCCTTGGGAAGCATAGTACGAGAGTATTCAAAGGGCAACTACTTAATCGTCAGTGGTACCTCATGAATGAAGTGTGTTGCCGATGGACTCAATGAAGGAAGAAGTGTTCCTAGGAGTACCTTCCACCCCGGTGGTGTGGTGTTACCGTCACTACCACGCATAGTCACTACCCACGGACACCACGTGCGGTGCTCTGATATCACGTGAAAAGTGTTCCTTTCGATCTCCTAAGAGTAAAAGAAGTTAGACATCGCATTTAGAAGATAAACTGTTACCGTGAGTTGCTAGGCCTGCAACGACGAAATGACTTCTATTGAATTCTACAACCCCTTCACTCCTCTCCTTCTTTTTGACCGTCATTCACTTATTTCTCTCCCCAGCCTTCTGCTGCTATAAAAACCAAAGATGGCAGCCACAACTTCCACCCACAAAATATTGAGCACTTGCCTACCAAAATCACGCCTGCTCTGCAAGGCTATGTCCCTCAATTGGACCCTGTTTTACCAGCACTTGGGGTGTCATAATATAGAAGTTGAAGCCTTTTGAAAGGTATCACTTACCCACCGACATAGCACATCAGATTACTAAGAAACTAAAACTGCAAGTCAAACCTATCTTGTGCGAAAATATCCGACTTTTCGCATGAAAAAGAGGTACTGCTACTCTCCCTCCCCACCCCCCCTGGATGGTTTGCTACTCCACCCAACGTTATATCCCAGTATTCCATCAGGCTTCCCTGACAGTTTACCAGTCCCCTTTCATACTCCAAAGTGAAGAGAGGCACTATAAGATTAATCCTTTACACCGTTTACATCAACATGAATTTTCTCCGTACTCTTCGCCATACATTTCCTTAGGTGCAGACGAAGAGAATTTGTTTAACAATCAGGAGCTTTTTTTCTGATTGGTGATCGTTTTCCATATTTTTGTATCCTCAATGTGTGATTCTGGGGTGATATTGTAAGGAAAAATTAAATCAACGCGAGCCACTCTTAGGGATCTGAGGATAAGTGTCCTTCCCAGGACCTTAACACAACAACCCAGCCAGGAATCAAACCAGGACCTTTCGCTAATTATCAACGCCGCGCGCTTGTCATCGACTCGCTCACCTGCAGCCTCCTCTTCTTCGCTCTTGGCCGGCCGTCGTTCTCCTCAGGAACACCCTCCCGGCCGTACCCCAGAAACTCCAGCTCAGATTCCACATCTTGTAGTCTCTCTGTTAAACTTTCATTTTCGACCTCCACACAGAGGGATTCAGTTGCTTCTTCCCCAGGCAGGTTGGATAATGACCGATGCAGTGGAGACTTGAGCCCCATTGGCTCTGATGTCGATTTAACAGTCAATGTATGTGAAGTCTCTGTTAATTCACAAGCTGTCTCCGTTGTGGAATCTTCTGTTGAGGATTTGTCTCCTTTTTCAAAACTATCACCCTCTTCCATGGGTTCTGTGGGGTCACCTTTATCCCCCTCCGTGCCACGCCCTTCAATACCCACCAAGCTTGTTCCCTGATTGTCGCCTTCTTCACTGATCTCTCTACTTCCAGACTCTTCCTGGTGTGTGATGTTTCTGAAACTCGTATACTCCGCAAACATTTGTCCGGTGTCCAGATATGACGGGCCATCATCTTGCTCTGTCGCAACGTGCGTTAAAGGGAAGAAATTCCACACACCCAGCTCTCGACGACACAGTGAACAAGAGATGGTATTCACATCCGGTTCACTAGTGATGCTATGAAGGGTGAGTAAAATAACTTTATGTGTGAGTTAAACGATTCCATATCATTACTGATGTTAGACTAAGAGCAGTCCTTCATTTTCGGCAAAGTCAAAAAGTGTCAGCAAAAAAAAAAAAATTGATGTCTGCGCGCCGCGTGGAACTCTGGGAGTGATACTCATCGTGCGCCTCACTCCCATTCTTCCGGCGCACAAACATCAATTTTTTTCGCGCTGATTTTTTTTTGTTTTTTTGATTTTTTACTCGCACGACGGATTTTGCCGAAAAGGAAGAACTGATCGTAGTCTTTACTGACGTACACGTGTTTGTTAAATAAGATTTGCAATACTCAAACTTATCAGGTAGAAGCTATCATCTTGATCTAACACCGAATTCTCCAAACTAATTTACTTAGATCTTGGGAGTTAAGGGTTAAGAAAATTAAAACTGAGAGTTCTGCATTGTGCTACTCCGATGATGACTTCAGTTTAGAATGAGGAGATGCCACCTACTTTCACCACCAGTTCTCCTTTCCCCTAATACCCTCAACTGAATGATTACACTTCAAGAGAGATGACATATTGTGTGCAATGCAGACCACCACCTAGCCAGCGACCAGGCTCTCATTAAAAGCGCTGCAACACGCGCGTTTCTCCGCCCGCGGGAAGATTTGAGACGAATCTCAAATTTCTCGAATATCCGGACCCATTGCAGATCTCTCGGCCGTACGCGTTGTTCAAGCCCTCACACTTTCCCTCGGGGCGGAGACACACCCATGCCGAGGCGCTAATTTTTGGGGGCCGCTCGCGGATTAATAACTACCTGCTCCTCCAACCACAAAGTGCTATAATACAAGATGCTTTGGAGGCTTGTTCTAAGTCCAGTTCGTTCCTTGTCCAGCTGATACATCCAGGGTCAACTAAATTCTGAAGTCCTTCTATGTGACCTGGCGTTAGACAATCCTTGGGGAACAAGAAATTACAAAAAATTATTTCACAAGAGTAAAAAAATTAAAGAAGTAGTATGCCAAGAAAACATAAGACTTACCTGCTGTGAATGTAAAAATATCATATAATGGAACAACAGATTCATAAATGAAGATGAGAAAGATCTTTGCAATAATAGACACTACTTTAGGCAGTAATAAGAATAAAGCCTAATAAAAATTCAGGCTTGTACAGGAGTTGAACGCATGACCTTGGTGATACTGGTGTAGTGCTCTACCAACTGAGCTAACAAGCTAACTGGGAGCTGATCAACCTGTTGATTTGTTAGATCAGTTGGTAGAGCATGGCACCAGTATCGCAGAGGTCATGGGTTCAAACTTCTGTACAGGTCTTACTGTCACAGAATTTTATATAACGATGTTATTGTGTAAGGGGTTAAATTAAATGTACTCTTACTCTAAAGATCTAGTTGTAAATTCTCCCCTCTAGCTGCTACACATTTCCTTGTAAATTTGTTACTAGAATCTGGCGTTAAGTCAAAATAACAACTTCTACCTGATAAGTCTGAGTATTCTCATTACCTTTTGCTTATGGGGAGAAGTTACATGTTTTCAATCACAAAATGCAGTGACTGACCTACTACTCTCCAAACAATCTGAACACAATATCCAACAAACAGGTAATGAGAGTTGATAAACTTCTCAGCTGAAGGGTGACACCTTTATATACCAGTGTTTCCAAATTCTCATTACTAATTTCAGAGAACATGTATGACAGCTGGAAAGGAGAATAACTAATTCCATCTAGGGAATGAAAAGGTCAAGAGGCATTACCATGTCCTTGATGGCTTGCTCATCAACAAGTGGGATCTCGTCGACAAGGGTAATAATGGATTTCCATCTTGCCCTGTAGTCTTCAAGCCATTGTGAATAACTGTATAATGGCAACTTTACAAATGACTCTGTTTGACAAAGAGGAATTGAATAGAATCCTGTTAACCCTCTAAACCTTAAGAGGGACCAGCATCTAGTTTCTCCTTACAATAATACTGTTGAATCAATAATTTATGATCATGAGAATAAAGGATATGATCACCAACTACAGAAGCTCTTGATTGTAAAACAAATTCTCCTTTTCAGAACCTTAAGACATGTATAGATGATAGTATAGAGAATATACATACTGATGGTAGGGTGTAAAGTGTTAATAAAGTAAATGGTTTTAACCCATGGTAACGTTAGATTGTGTGGTCTGATTTTTTTAGGAGAGGGTAGTCCTGACAGGGACTGTTATGAGTAGTAGAGACTGATGTTTCCACATCCTAACTATGAAGACAACTTTCACTCGGATTGTCAAAATGTCAGTCACCACAATCGATAACAGTCCTTCCCAGGACTACCTTCACCAGAACAATCAGACTAAATGATCATATGGAATCCTGTTAATTGACAAGTATCCTTCACAGTAAGATGCTCATTTCATTTTTCCTAACAGCAGGTCATAAGTTGCCTGAATCAAAAGCTTACCAAAAGAGGGCTGATTTTAATTTCAATCCTGAGTAGCACATGTAGTTAAATGTAAAACAGAATTCTGACACAACAAGAGATGTAATATTATTATTACAAACCAGGGCAAGGATTATCCGGCCATGGACACAGTTTAGAATGACCACTGACAAGTGCTTCTCTTAGCTGCTCACAGGTCTTGGCATCTAAAATTAAAGGTTAAATTGAGTTAACAGTGAAACAGTTCCATGCCATGGAGACTGCATGCTGATACATTGAACTTTCAGCTTGAATAAGAAAGAGGGATGTATTTTGTTACAAACAATTTGAAAACTGTGGACAAAAAATTATGTAAATACAAGTCCTGATATATGAGCCTTAGATACCAAGGATATATGTGCACATGTATGTCCTATATCTTCAACCAAAAAAGGTACTATCAGAACATTTGCTTTTAATCCAAGGCTGATTTTTCCAACAGTCACTGTGCACTCTCTAAAAAAATCCTGTTTGCCATAGCACAACATTTACATTTTTGTAACTAAAGATGGTAAGTACTCAATTTAAAATATTTATTTTAACTCTCTATTTTTACCTCATGGATTGACATTAGCCATACTATGAAGTTTTTGGTATGGACTTAAAAAACCCTTCCTCACTCGCTCCAATCTGATCTGTTAGACAATTAATTTACATCTTAATGTGGATTACATGCATTATCCCCTGCTTCCCCTACTAGGTTTGGTTTTGTCCACAAGGTCATGCTATTGTCTCACGTTCATATATCTGGAGGTGGGACAGAGGTGGAGCCACCATCAAGACCTAAATTTAATATATTTAGTCAAATATCAATATATAAAATACTCACAAATTTCAGAATCCCATGTAGTGGATATGGTAGCATCAAGACATGCCCGGCAGCTAACACACTGTAGGATGTCAACTTCACTGTTTTCCCAGCCATATTGTGCACAGTGGAGAGGTGAAAGTGCAAGAGGTTTGGCAAACCATGTAAATGGCTGCACTTAGTTAAGAGAATAATAATTTAGTGTTTGGGCGACAGCGGTTTAGGATCTTTGTATAAACAGAGACAATAGTGATCAAAAAAATGCTGGAGAGCAGAAGCTTTTGTAAGCATGTCAGTGGCTGAGGATGTGTATTCCAACCCTTTACACCCTCACATCAGAATGCATATTCTCCATACTGTTCTCTACACATTTCCAAAGATAATAAAGGGGAGAATTTGTTTAACAATCAAGAGCTTCTTCTTTAGCTGGTGATCATTTCATTTAATCTCAGGACCTTAATGTTTGAATTCTGCCACCCAACCTGATTATTGAGTTTCAATCTTTCAGCCGCTATTATGGTTTTTTAACTGCTTATTAAGTTCTTTAACCTTAACCCTAACCTTAAACCTTACCCTAAGCAATTACTTCTACAAAGAGGAAGAAAAAGAAGAAGAAGCCAGCAAGCGCCAAAATAATGGAATGGGAAGGTCAAAGTAGTAAGAAAACTGATAAGAAAATTAACCCTCTAACTCTCAAGATCTGGTTCTTAATTCTCCCCTCTAGCTGTTACAAATGTATCTATAAATCAGTTATGAGAATTTGGTGTTAGATCAAAATAACAACTTCTACCTGATAAGTGTGAGTATTCTCATTATCTGTTTGCTGGACAATGAATGGATATGATGAGGAGAAGTTACATGTTAATCACTGCTAAGAGTTAAAGAGTTAATAGTATGCAGTAGTGTATATCAGAAGTATATATGGTTAAAAGATACAGAGAAGGTTTCCACACGATTCCAAAATGCTTCTTTACTTCTTGGCTGACTTCTACAAACTGAGTCCAAAGAGGCATCATCTTGTTCGAGAGTTCTAGAAAAAAGTGGTTTACTTTGTTCAACAGCTGTATTCTTAAACAAAATAAGTTCCTCTTACAGTGAAATACAAATTGGCAGCTTTAACACAAAGAGCACATTGCACATCCTCCTCAAACTTGCAGTAAAATTAAAAACAAACATAAAAGTAAGGAACCTAACACCTTTACTCACATGATCTCATCAGTAATTCTCCTTCCCATCTGCCATACAACTCTTATGAAGTTAGTATAGAGAATTTGGTATTGGATCAACTACTCATCCCCTCATTAAAAGTTTTCTTTATTGTCATAATTTTTTTTGCTTGATATTGTATTAATATTGTGAGGAGAAACTCCTTTTTTGTCACTCATGGGAGTTACAGGGTTAAGAGTTGAATTTATGATACCTGCAAGGTTATCAAAGAAAATAGATTATAAGAGAATACAAAAGAAGACCATTGAAACGGATAATATCTGCCTGTTCTTGAGTGTCATTCACGGATGCCAACATTTCTTATCAATATTACTCGTTGTTACTCTAAGATGGAAAATGTCTACATTTGTCAAATTTTTTTTTTGTGCTCAGGTGATCACTGATTAAATCAAGATAGCTTAAAATTTTGAAACAAGAAAATTTTAATGAAAAGTCTTACAGCTGTTAACAATCGTCCATGATAGGACCAAATGTATAACCAAATGAAGTTTATATCTGTGTTCTGATGGCACACAGTGCAGTTAAGTTTTAAATTCCAGTAGAGTATCGTTATTTAAAAACAACTTGTCATGACTGTCTCAAACTTCAAACAGATCAAAATTATTTTACGATGATCGATAAAAGCTAGCTGTAAGCTGTGACGCACACCACATAATCATTGATCAAGTGTTCCACGGAAATATTTGGTTAGTGAAGGAAAATCTAAAATCCACACAAAAAAATAGTTAAATCAAATAGATTTGACACGTTTCGGGAACGTTTGATCGCTACAATACGGGCAAACGACCACATCAAAGACAGCGTGTACGCATTTCAAACATTACAGTTGCATGCTGCATTCTTGGAATAACTTGATATCACTAGCGTCAGAACGTCGTTTTCTGTGCAATCCGTTCATCTTAACTAACGGAATGGCTTTTATCGTTTCTCATTATGCATACCTGGCTTTTCCGTTTTTGTCCGACGAGTGAAGAAAACTCGACAGCAAGGCACGAACCCTCCGAGGAGTTCCCTCAACAGCTGCCGCCATGTTGTTTTTTTTTTTCATTTACACTCGTCTCCAGTCTTTCTCCAAACCCAAATGAAACAGTGTTCCCATGGGATATCCCCGGGTTAAGATTAAGCCTTAAGATGGTGGGGCAAGATCATCCATCAATTCTTGATGAAATGTCAAGGCCATGGCCGAGGTTGAAGTCAGTTGGTTGCAGGGAATTAAACGTTTATAACGAAGATGAAAGGAAGCAAATTTGTCTGTGCCCTTTTTCCCAGCTGAGCCGCTTACTGATGGATGTCTAACCCGCTTAAAAAGGATAATCCTGTTTTTCTCTGCCGCATAGTACATATTTCATCTGTTTCTATTTATTCTGTGGGATGGGGGGGCACTAAATCGTGAAAGGATGTATTTTCAGACTTTGGGAGTTAGAAACATTCGTGTATGTTAGTACCTTGGCTATACCTATGCACTGCTTCATATATTATAGCGCTGCGGCTACGCTGCAGCCACAAGCGATGAAACCCGCGAGATCTAGATTCAAACATGCGAGCGTGTGAGAGGTTGGTTAGGGGTCTGACACTGGTCTAATTTTCGTGCCAGAACCCTTGTGCACTTCTCGCGCGTTTGCGTCGCCGCTGAGTCGAGCTGCTTGTGTCGGAATTACGCAGACCACGTACGAAACGCGGCATCCTTTTCTTGCAAAACAGCCTCAAGAAATCCTAACTAACAGCTGGCGCGTATACAATTTTTTGTTTTTGTTTTACTTGGGCACAAGTACAGTGGTTTTACAGACCGCTCTGTGTTGTTTTTAACCTCTTATCTCTTGTTTACATGAATGAAACAATCCCAACAATTCTATGATGGCATGTTTAGAGGATCAAAGACAGGTTTTGTTCGTTCTCATCTCCTACACCACCAAGTACTTATGACATTCCGGGCCACACTGAAATTTGTGGCTGAATCCTCATTATTCTAATCCATACGTATTTCAATTTTTACTTGAACAGAAAAGCCCATGATAATAAGGCGATTATTATTTCTTAATTAAAGACGTTTTACAACATATTACCAAACATACGTTCAACAACTATTTAGAGCAGTCAAAGAAGTTTTTCAAAGGCTTAAATTTACCCTGTTATCATTATTCCCTGTTATCATTATTGCGAAATGTTATCTGTGGGAAAGGATACATTTCCTAAACACCCACAAGTATTCAAACATAGGTGGCATGAGGTGTAAAAGGTTAGATAAATTCCACTAAACACACAAGTTCAAAACTGAATTGGTCAGAGCCAGTAGGAAGGGAAAACTCTCCTTACAGCATCTTTTGCTACAAACATTTAAGTTATGAAAATAAAGAAAATGACCACCCACCGAAAGAAGCCCTTGATTTTTGACAAATTTTCCTCGTCATTATCATATAGAGTGTCCGGAGAACGGTATGGAAAATAAGCACAATGAAGTTAGGTGCAAAGGCTTAATCCTTGTTGACATAATTGCGAAATGTAAACAACGACAAGTATTGAAACGGCTTAAGGGACTAGTAACTAATTATAGGGGCGAGATTTGCCAGCCAGCGCCTGCGCATAATGCAGCCCACCTACGAGTGACCAGCTGTTGTTCCCATTAGTGCTTTATTTTTTAATTGTATAAAAAGGAAAAAAACAGGGTCACTCAGAAATGGTTGCAAATATTACTTTCACAGCAGCCCATCATATTCAGACACATAAGAATGTTTAACCCCTTCGGATTCCTAAAATGACCGTCCCGCTGAAGGGTAAAATATGATATTCCAAATAAAACAGATATGTTCAAAAACTATTTGGCACAAGAAACAAGAGATAACGCTATTCAAGATGAACGTTTTTCAAAGGCTAATTTACTTTGACCCGTGTTATCTTTAAAGATGGCGAAATGTTATTGATAAGGGAGGAAACATTAACTAAACACCTGTAACTATTCAAACATTTGTACTTAAAAGGTAAAGATTACCTACAATGTTTGGAAAAATTAAGATTAAATTGGAGCCCCGCAACTCAAGCGTTCAGTTCAGGTAGAGATCGAGAGCGGTGCATTACGGCCATGGCAAGTAAGGGTTTTTTGTTGCTACTATTGGTCTCCGCTATGGTTTCAGCGAGCATGGCTGCTCCGGTAGGTATGAAATCTGTGTAGTAATTCTGGCGTTGCATTTGCATACATTTTAGAGCGCTGCTGATAAAATACCTACGGTATAGTCAGTTCCTCGCCGCATATAAGTTATTAACTGTGGAAACCAAAAGTCTAGTGGGCCAAAAAACACCAACATGCCACCAACACCAACATTATAATAAAGCTACCCTTGAAACAACTTTATAGCGGAAAGAATCCGAAATTTGGCGCAGAATTTTAAGGTTGATCCGTAATCCACCGTATCTTTGAAATCCTAAAATCCGCTCAAATGTTTCGGGAAAAATTCCAAGCCAGCGAGTTTTTTTGATGGCCAAATCTGCCAATTTACGTTTGCAATCATTTATGTTTGCTATCATGTTTGCCCCCTCTTTTGAAAAAAAATTCAAGTACAGATTGTATTTCGGAAGTATGACTTTAAGAACTAAACGCAATCATATCACTTCACAAGTATATTTTCCTTCCTTCCAGGACAAAGGTCGTGTCTGTTTGGGGGCCCACCACCCATGTAATCGTCTGCGCCAACGGCCAGGCCAACCTACAAAATGCTGCAGTGGACATTGTGATTGCCTCGATCTCGGGCGGTAAACAAGTTTTGAATTGTCTTATTTATTTTTACTCAGCCGAAACCTCTAATAGAGCGCGTTTTTAGCCGAGGACACAGACGGGACGTAGGAATGGTTGGGTAGATTCAGTTTGAACACG